GCATATCATACAAGTAGAATATTGGATGAAGAGATTGCTAAATCTAAGAACTTTAAAAGTTATACAAGTAATAGTTCATTAAATAATCTTGATTGTGACTCTTTTTTCTAAATGTTAACAAAGGTGAAAAAAAATTTTATTATTAATTAATTAATTGGAAATTACTATCCATTAGTAACAATATTAATTAATTAATAAACATTAAATTCTAGTAACAATAGTAAAAGAAGAGAATTGACAAATGACTAATTTAATCTCTACTATAAATTTATTCATTATCTTTTTATTTATCTTTTTATTTTATCCTTATTTTGTTTCTTTAAAGCAATATTATAATAATGTTTTGAAATAATAAATCTTTTGACTCTTGTTAAGTCGTGGTATCATTTCGGTTGATTAATAATTATGGCTTAACTTTTGCTTACTCTTGCAAATAATTTGGTGCTTGTCAATTAATCAGTCTACAAGTTTATTTTACGTGGGGGGTTCAAAAAGTTTTGACACAGGACCTGTAACTTTATAACTTTGAATTAAATTAATCTGAGTTCTTTTTTAAATAAAAGGCCTATTTCTCCTCTTTCAAATAAAAAATTGTTTGTTTTTTATAATTCATTGATTACTAAAATAATAATTTTCAAAGATTGTCAATAAAGTGATATTTTAGCATTTAAAGCGTCGTTTTGATTTGACGTAATAGTTTTACAACTTTGGTAAAATTTCGTCAAACAACATTATCTTACAATAACAATGATAATAAATATGTCAATTAAAAATAAAAGAGTTTTGCGATATTACCATTTTTATTAATATTAATAAAAGAAACATCTCCGGTACGGAAAAATCCATCTTTACTAATACATTTTTTAGTGGTCTCGATAACCCTATTTGGTTTTCTTAGACATGTAAAGGATCAATTAAAGTAAATTGATTAACAATATTCATATAAATATGATCAGTACCTTTATAATGTTTGGACCACGAACACATAGTTCACCTTGTTCGTTAATCCCAAGTTCTATCAAATATAAAATACATAATAATCAATTAATTGTTTAATGATAAATAATGAATAATTCGTTGTTAATTACCTTTTCCATCTTCATCAATAATGTTTGCTTCCATATTTTGCTATAAGAATTCCAGATTTTTTTTTCAAAAAAAAAAATATTATTTATTCATTTATTTCCTTCTGTCCTTCCTTCGACAATCTTTTAAATTACCAATTGTGATATCATCAGTCCTATCCATTGTAATGATCGGTGTAGTTTCAGTAAGTCCATAATCTTGTGTACCAAATTTGTTGCTGAACATATTACTCGACTCTTCACTTAACAGAGCAGTAGCACAGAATAAAAATTTCAAGCTTGTTAAATCATAATTGCCAATAACTGGGACTATAACCAGTTGAAGCACGATCGGTGGAACTACATATATAATATTTATTTTATGATCTTGTATCGCATGACCAAATGAATTTATATCAAATTTTGATAAAATTATCACTGATGTGATGCTCCCTATTATAATTATATATATATATATGTACAGTGCGCGAAAAAGTAATGAGAATAAAATATATCGTAATAAAACTCTATTTCTTTTTCATATTCGACCAGTTAAAGAAACCGGTAATATCACAAGTGCAATGCCACAATGGGAAAAAATCGAATGTTCCAACAGAGTAATGATCCGAATCATAAAGCTAAGGAAACCATGGAACTTCTCGTGCAACGATGCCCAAAGATAATGGACTGGCTATTCAATAGTCCAGATCTTAGCCCAATTGAAAATTTATGGACAATTTTAAAGGGACATGTAGAGAAAGAAATCAACAAATTATTAATTAAAAAAAACAGTTACTACATATTGATTTCTCGAGATAATTCAGAAAGAGCGGGAAGGAATTGAAACTGAAATTTGGTTCGTAGTATGTCAAGAAGACTGGAGAATGTGATTGCGAGTAATGGTAATAAGATAAACTATTGAGTAACCTTAAGTAACTTATTTGTCGTATTATGGACAGTATATTTGTAAATTTTTATGTATTTGCAACCTTTTCTCGTCGTGAAATGAATAAAAACGTCATTCTCATTACTTTTTTTCGCGCAATGCATATATTTTTTTTTTTAAAAAAAATTATTATTACAAGCTTACACTATAAAGTACTTGATGAATAATAAAGTGCAATGCAAATATATGATAAAATGGCTGCAAAAAATAAAATAAAAATATCATAATCAAATTCGAATCATAAATCACAATCATCTCATCAATCATAATTATTATTTAATATTCATCAGGATCTTAAAAATTAAATTTACATTGCATTGATTTGCGTTGTACATCACGTTGTTGTTAAACAATTAGTTTTACAACACAAATTATAGTAGTAAGTTTAAAGTTTAAAACCTTTTTTATACCTTTTTTTCTATTCATTTCAAACTAAATCCTCCTTTAATATATTATTTACTGTATAGTGAAATAAAATCATGGAAATCATGGAAATCACGGAAGTCGTGGAGGCCATGGAAGTCGCGAATGTCATGAAGTTATAGCAGTTGGTAGAGGTCATCGTAAAAGTTATGAAAATTTTCTTCGGTTTGATCGAAGAAATTATAAGTGTGCACTTTTAATTTTTTTTCTGATGTCTTTTTATTGGATGGAGACAAATCATCCAACTATCTCGCCTCTTTAAGTGATAATTCTGTAGAAAGCATTCACGGCATTATTTGATGACGTACGGCTAAGTTTTCACTGCACAACAACTGAAAAAGGAGGCACATTTTATTTTTCAGCATCGAAAGGATAATAATTTTCGACAACATTTCATAGATTCTATGAAATATCCATATACACCGAAACAATTGCATATGCTTTCCCGAAAGTATGATGTATTGCTTTTAGATTTGTTTACGAGGATATGTCAAGCATGAAATCAGTATCCTTTGACTACTAAAACTTCATCTAATGGTATTAATTCATACAACTTACCTTCTTTAGTTTACGAAATAACCGACCGCCACCTTCTAAAGGCTTTGTTACTTCTAGGAAACCATCTACAAACATTTTTTGTGATTACATATATTGTGATTACACTAACTATACTGTATAGTTAGTGTAATCACAATATATGTAATCACTAGTGATGTTAGCCGGTAGAAAAACCTTAGCCGGCTAAGCCGTTCAACCCTTAGCCGGCTAATAATCTGCATACATAAATTCTAAATTTGGTAATAGATTTCCGCGTTATCTTC